AACTCTGTCCCAGTTGAAACCAGGACAGCTAAAAAGACTAGAGCAATTCCATACGTAATTTTTAATCCAGCCTCCTTTCACTATCAGGGCTTTATTGTCAACACCCAAACCGTGGCACTTAAAATACGTTTGTCCAGAAATTGTTTGATGTGTGCTATCACTTGGTGAAAAGTGTGAAGAAAATTCTATCCTACTACTCTAAAAGTAGCAACAATTCCTAATAAAAATATCATATTTTAAATGTGGAAACTGGCTTCAGTATTTAGAATTTCTGTTCAAAAAATGGCCAATTCTCTCTCCAGCCTATCTGTTCAGTGATATCTCTTTCAAAAGAATCAGCCCCATAAGCCTGATTTCAATAAGAGATCTAAACAGAACTGAGCTTGCTGAATGCCAGTGAGTTTCTTGCCACTGACTATTGTGAGCACAGTATCAGACTATGAAAAAGCTGTCCTCCCACCAGTGACTGAACACCTTTAAAATCTCACAACTTATGTTTCTGATTGACTAATTCTCCATATTGTTTATTATCTAAAGTTTATATATTTATTGTTGTGGATTTGCATTCAGGCTTGAATAATGTGTGCTTAATACGTGCACGTTACAGGCTCTCACCTGGCAAAGACTTCTGCTCCTGTTTAAATTGATCAACATCCTGTCCATCAAAACAGTATTAATGGGTTAAGAATGTACATAGACTGACATATTTGCTTCAGCAAAATAGCCACTTCTTTTGTTTCAGTGCTGCATTTTTACTGATTGGTGATTAGTGAGTATTAATTGCAAGGTAAAGTTAATACTGTTCAATAATTGTTGTTCTTGATGTTTGCCTGCTGCATTGGATATTGGATATATGGATCGTAATGGATTTAACTATATACTGCTAGTATGAATTTAGAAATTAAGTGGTTTATATATACATTAATGACACTTAGCAACTGCAATTGGTTTGAAAATCACTTAATTAAAATTTTTCAGTTTTGGAATTACCATGTAGACAGGTCCTGTAACAGAAGACAGTACCTCCTGTTTTCAGCCTGGCAGGATATTAAAAAGCTTCTTCAGATCAACTGACACTCTATGTATGTATGCTGTGCTATCCTTACTTCATGTACAGACCATAACATTATTATCATGTGATGAAAAGAAGTTACAGTTGCTCCTTGAGTTTAAAAGCAGGATTTTTAACAAACACATACATAATCTATTTTTTAATTCCTGCATGTTCCAAAGTGAATTTGGAAAAATTAAAAATACTCATGAAAATCTTACATTAAAATCCAATACCAAGAAATGGCATAATCTTCAAAAATTTTCATTCCAACTGATCTTGCATCCAGGACATTATTGATGCCGCTGAGAAAAGATAAACCAAAGAAAAGGTTGCTTTAGGTAGAAAAGTAGAATTCATTTAAAAAACAAACAGGCTCAGTGAAAGAATAGGAAATATCTTTGATAGTGACAAGAGTATATTACTATGCTCCAGCTCCAGTTCTGTAACCAAGCCAACAACAATCACAGTTATGCCAAAGAAAAAACCTGTCTAAAAAAGTCTATACAGCTCCTGAAAAAGCCCTATTAAAAAAATTTTATTACTACTAACTAGTGCCAGATATTATTGCTTATTATGTCACAAGAGAAGTGTATACTGTTAAGATCTGCAATGTACCAAGAGCCAAACAGTTGTGACTCCAGAACTGCTAAGAGCAGAGAAGCAGAAAATAGTTCAGTGACACAAAAGGTTGACTTTATGTAACTGTTTTCCTATCCTGCAAAGTGCTTGTCCATATTAATGTTTTCATAAGAAGAAATTAAGGATCTTCGTATCAAATAACAGACAATGGAGTTGCAGATGCCAGAAGAAGGAAACTTAAAAAGATGCAGGAGTTATCAGCGTGGGTAAGGTGCTAGAATGTGGTAGCCTTGCATCGAGAGGTAAGAAAAGGTACCTCTGTGCTCCAGACAGGCTGAGACTGACAGGAGCTGGAAAAGTGAGGCTATTGCAGCAGTTTTCCCTCATCCTGGTTGATGCCCAGGATTGGAGATGCTTGCTGTCCATCTGCAAGGGAGCTGTTGTCACGCATCAGAGCCCAGTACATTGCTTTTTGACCTTCAGACATGTACTAAAACCAGGCGGGCTCTGACGAGGTGAGGTGCCCAAAGTACTAGGACAGTCCATGTTAGTGGAATGGCCATCATAGGAAGGAACAGCCATGGCCAGTACTGGCTGGGCTGCGTCCTGCAGCATGAGGATTTAATTTTGAACCTTCTTTAGAGCTTTCTTTAATACTAATTTTTGCTAGGAAAAACAACAAGAATTATTTAAAAACTGACAGTCACTCTGAGACAATCAGACTAAAACTTTGGGCTCCTCGCTCATTTCTGCAAACCACAGTGCTTGTGTTCCTTGCTGGAACTTTGCAGGAGCCCAGGCACAGAGAGATCATTTACTGGCACGTCTTGCCTGGGTACCCTCAGCCATTTGCTACTACAGATTCTGATTGTTTTTTCAATTCCTTAATTATTTCACAATCTCAGAATCCAACAAATGAGCACTTAAGAAGGGTAAAACCTACTTTGCAGCTTCCCTGAGATCAGTTACATTTCTTGTTTTCCCTCTTCCATCTTTGAACGTAGTCTGATTTGCCACAGTTAGTACACCATTCTTCGTGGAGAAATCTGGGAAGCATCTCTTAAGAACTATTCAAAATATCAAAAGAAAGCATGCATATTACATGTCATGTCAAGCTCCACTTTTATCACTTGTCTTTTGAAACATATTTAAATAATTTCAGATTTACAGTCACTTGTTTTCAACTGATTATCTAACGATATGTTGACTTTGACAAATCTTGGAAGAGCCATTATATTCAAGATTATGATTTTTATGCTCCAGGGCTTTTTGTCTAAGCTCAGGCATGGCAGGATCATAGCTTTCCACTGGATTCTAGGTGCTACTGAATAACAACAGTAGTGTATGTATCAGTTTAAGAGCTTGTAATAAATGTGGAACTTACTCTCTGTCAGTATCTGGGCAGCTTATAAAAACTGCAGCTTCTCAAATATGTCATTTCATGGTAAAAATCAAACCAGCCCCCAAGGACAGACTCAACATGACTGGCCACAAATGGTATTAGCACCGAAAATAATACATAACAGCAAGTATCAGTTCCTCATACACCAGATGAGCTCCAGGACCAGCCACTATCACTAGATATTCTTGGAGAGGAAGCAATGGAAAAGAGACAGAAACTATTGGTTAGACAGAGGGAGGAGGAGATTATAAAAGGGAGAGAAAAGGAGAGATGTTTACATACTCATTTATGTTGCCCTGCTCTTTGCTGCAAAAAGTCCTGGTTTTCATTCCAAAGGGAAGAGCAGGTTAGTCTTCCTACACAGCTGTACTTTAACTTTATACAACAATTCTATGCTTTCCTTATCAGGTTCCAATAAATACTGATGCCAGAGTTCCATATTCAGTCTAGAATATCTACCCTACCAATTATTCTGAGGAAATAATTCATATATCTTTTTCTTTTTCTGTAATCTTTGACCCTTGTTGTAGGCTAAAAGAAGGTAATAGCTTCTTAGCAAATTATTTCCTATCTTTTGGGTCAGCACATCAGTTTTCATACAAATTCTTATTTTTAAAAAAAAAATTAATCTATATTTTCTCTTTTTTATAACCTGTCCCTGGTTTACATGATGTCTATTTTAAAACATGGGAAAATAAACAGCAATTCCTTATTTGCATGAGCTTCTGGGTCAGTGACAGATACTCTTGGTATTACACTTGTGCAGCTGAGATGAGCTCTAAGACCAGTGGTTATCTACTCAGAAGTATCTGCTGACCACAGTGACGAAAACATTTTTTTGTCTCCTTAACATAGCCAGCACTACAAGTGAAAAGCAAGCTGCATTGTAACTAGGCTCAAGTATCATCTGAACTTCAACAGCTGGCCATACAATCCCTCCTACATTCGTGGCATTTTCTTGATGCCAATGGGGTTGCTTACTCATATATTTTGGAAGTCACAATTTGAGATGTAAAGCTTTTTTTATCAGTGATGACGCAAGAGCAAGAAAGAGCTCAGCTTCACCCAGTCACACGCTGAATGTTGATGGAGAGCAGTTGGCAAAAATAATAATAAATGTTTATACTTTCAAATTGTTTAAAATTGAATGGATGTCACTGTCAGATAACAGACAGCTCCTAGTGACCTTGCCACAAAACATTTTTCAGTCTAGAGTTGTGCTTTCATGTGAACACTTATAATCTGCTAAGATGTGTGTAAGAAGTAGAACCACTCACAAGGCCTGCTTGGAATGATCATCGAAGGACAATCTTCATCACGTAGGACTTGAGCAACAGACTAAAAGGGGAAAAATAGGAATGTTGAATACATAGCAGAATAACTACATGTTTTTCGTTTCTCACCCAGTCTGAGAAAATGCCCCAAACTGGGCTTTGTAGCCTCCTCCTCCTCCATCTTGACTGGTGAAGCTGCAAGATACATTCATGATGTGAGTGAGAATCCAAACTGTCATTGTGACTTGGGAAAAGACTATTCTTCTTTCCTTTTCTAATGACAAAAAAGAAAAGACTTGTTCACTTTGGATCAGCATCTAAGCCAGAAGTGACTGGGCAATTGTTTCTTGCCTCCCCTTCCCCTTTTCTCTTAAAGAAGAGTAAGAATTTAACACAATTAATACAGCTGAATCGCAAGATGGGTTGTAGATGAGAGAAATAATGCAGTACACCTGAGTGCAAAATCAGTTACATGAACAATAGGTTAATTTTCCCAGCTAAATTACTAAGTAGCTACTAAGTAGCTCCTATGACTTAAGAGCCTTAAGAACCGGTTTGAGATCTCTGCTCTGCTGCTGTGGAGTACCTAAGTACTAAAGGATACTGCTTGCCACAGTACTGCAACTACATGGGTAGCTGCAAATATTCTTTTAAGCAAACAGTAACCATTTAGAGAGTGAGGGATTTGGTGTGCATATGAGAGCTTTGCCCCTGATTAAACCACTGTCAAACCAAATATATGGGATGACTCCTTATAAGATGCAATCAGAATAATTCAAAGCTTTGATGTACTGCAGTAAAATCATGTGTATTACATATTGCTTGAAGAAAAAATGAATTCCATCACCTACTGATACATACACACCTTGCGAGGATTGTTAAAACCAGGTTTGCAGAACTGCCTGAAGTAATTCCACTGATCTGGTTTATATCTGTAGGAAGCCTGAACATCGATGTAAGTTGCAAACCTGTCTGGGCACTTTGAGACACAAAGCTGCAAGAAAAGAACAAAAATCATAGAATCATCATAGAATCATAGAATGGCACAGGCTGGAAGGGACCTCAGAGATCATCTAATCCAACCTCCCTGCCATGGGCAGGGACGCCTCTCAACTAGACCAGGCTAATCAAGGGTCCCGTCCAACCTGGCCTTGAAGACCTCCAGGCAGGGGGCATCCACAACTTCTCTGGGCAATTTATTCCAAAGTCTCACCACCCTCGTACTGAGGAATTTCTTCCTAAGATCCAATCTAAATCTGTTCTCCTTCAACTTAAACCCATTTCCCCTTGTCCTATCAGTGGACACTCTTGCAAAAAGTCCCTCTCCAGTAGGTTCCCTTCAGGTATTGGAAGGCAGCTATTAGGTCTCCCCGAAGTCTTCTCTTTCCAAGGCTGAACAATCCCAGCTCCCGCAACCTGTCCTCGTAGCAGAGGTGCTCCAGCCCCTGGATCATCTTTGTGCCCCTCCTCTGAACACGCTCCAACAGATCTATGTCTCCAACAGATCTATGTCTCTCCCCACCCTAAGAGAGATATAGATCTATTGGAGCGTGTTCAGAAGAGGGCCACAAAGATGATCCAGGGGCTGGAAGGGAGGAAAGTCAGTGCAATTAAAATGCAAGGAAAAGGCCACCTACAGAAGTGCATTGTTTTGTGGAATTGCCTTCAGTAATGTTTACTGCCGTTTTCAGAAAGGGACGTATGTTTTCCCTTTGATTTCCCAGATGAATACTTCTAAAATTCTTTGATAGAATACACTTTTAAAATTTCTCCTCATATCTGGCATATCAAGCCACTCTCTGCATCTTATTAGGTTCTACACATTCTGGTAGAGATGCAGAGCTTTCAGTCTGTTGAAAAAAAAATATCTTTTTTTTGAACACCAGGAAAAAATCTGTCAAGTCCTCCTCTACTTCCAGCAGCAGCAGTGTATATGAGCAAGGTGGTGCAGTAGCTACTTTCACAGGATACACATAGTTTCTTTCTATTACATTTATAAGGGGAACTTTATTTAAAAAAAGTCTCATGCAGCTAAAATTGTTCCACCCTTCTACACAGTCTCTTCCGTCAAATACATCTCCACAGATATCGTTCAAGTCGAGTTAGGCGTAAATCACTCAAAGGTGACTTTTTACTACTGACTAATGATGAATCTCCCCTAGTCACAAAGCAAGAGGGGTGCACATGCCAGGAATTAAATTCACACCACTCAAGGTACAGCCATTATAAACCAGACTTATGTGAGAAATCAAGTGAGGACTGGGGTTTGATGAATGCATCTCAGAAGTTACGATTTAGATTTATGTAGTGGAGAAGCAGCTGCCCCAATACACAGACTCTGAGGGCTCTGCTGGTCACTGGAATCATCAAGTGTACAGCTGCTCTGACTGCTCAGTGTTCCTGAATACTGTGAGGTAGTTTGAAGATCGTATTTTTAGCAAGTTTCAGCCTTTTCTAGAAGGCTGTTCTCTGTTCCCAAAGCTGTGCTATCCAAACACCTCTGCCAAGCTCTGCTATCCAAGTACCAGACAGACATCATGCATGAAGCTGTGTTTCACCTGAAGGGCATTTAGCCATATATGATTCACCTAAAGGAATTTTGGGAAAAGATGTACTAATTCTTAGAGCAGGGCAGATGCTTCAAGAAGGTCTTTCCAGACAAGTACTACAGTCCTACAGACTACTCACAGTGCAAAGAACAAAGAAAGAAGAATTTGGTCCTCACTGGGACAACAGGTGACGAACAAGTATACACTTCACTATAACCTCAGCTTCCCATCTGTGAAACAGGCAATGAAACGTGCTGTCTGTGGATCCAGTGAACTGCAGTAATCATTCGCAAATCCACAGTCTTACTCAAGAACTGAAGTTCTTCTCATCCCAGTTCTTGGTTGTTTGTTTTTTTTTTTTTCCTGCTATTTGATATGAATGGGACAGGAATGAAAGGCTCTGTCTGCAGTTCAAAAGAGGAATTATCAAACAAATGTTTCTTCAGCATTTTCACAAAAGACCAGAGAACTAACCATCTGCAGTAGTAAACAGCATTCAAAAACATTCTCAGTTTTGGAGATGCTGTATGTTTGAAAACAAACACAATAACTACTACGCTCCCCCAAACTCTCCTTCGACAAGTGTTTCACCTTACTTCATTCATGACCACTGCCAGCTTGACCACAGCACGAGTCAAATCCCACACAATGACCTCAGTATTTCTGAACAGGCTGAACTGTTCCAGTAACAGAGTCGAAAGTCTGCAAGGTAACAGTATTGGTGTCTGCATGTGGACTTGAAGCAAACCTGCTGCTGATACAGAAAGAACCCATTCTGACAGCAACTGGCCAGTGTTAAGAGGGCTCTTGCTCTTCCTTGCTGGAGATTTCCATCTCTTCAGCTGTGTCAAATAGTCCATATGGTCACACTAACTGATAGGCCAGAAACATCTATCAAGGATAGGGATCAGGAGTAAGGGCAAGCTGGAATGGGAAACATTTTAAAATGATAGTCAAATAAATAGACAATTAACATTTGTAATCAGTAAATTGGTTCCCATGTAACAACCCTCATCCGGATTAATAATGGACTTCACTGAATGTTGTAACGATGGCTGAGACCACACTCTGTCATCTGCAGTTTAATTACACAGTACAATTACTTCGGCTGATCCAAGCAAAGCTGGATCAGAGCAGTCGTGCACCTAATTCCTCAGACCTATCCCATGCCATAAGTTGTTGCCTCGTGAGATGAACTGACATAACTGTTTGCTCAACAAACCGGGTCAGTAAAACAGTCTCACGTGAAAAAGATCAGGGGGAGAGTTTTAACCCACACAAGTCCAGTGACAAGTTTCACAGCTTCATGAGAAGCTGTAGCGCAGCTAAGGGAGTACAAATTGTGGCATAAGGCAAGAACGAGCTTTCAGATCTTCACTTCCAAAAGTGCCATAGGCTCTACCACACCCAGATACTACAGTCACTGGGGATATGCACATTTTCTTGAAAGTGTCTAGTTTGAAAAACCCTAGATGTCAATCAAAATTATTTTCTGCATGCACTGATTACTACTGGATAGCTGCTTGTGATGAATTCGTAAATAACATTTTTTTTTGTCAACTCTTATCCAAAATACACAATCTTGTGCATTTCTATTTACTTTTTCTGACCTTCGCAGGCTACAGAGATCATATGCTTCACATCATCGATAAAACAATCATCATAATTTGAAGGATATGAACAGCAATTTTTCAATCCAAACCAATGTATGTCTAGTTCTTAAGCACCGTGACTAAGGGCAGGGAAAATATTTTATCTCTGTATTTCACTCACCTGTGTTGTAGGGCACTGTAGGTTTATTAACACTACAGGGCTGGCACATTTCAGAATGTTAAAGTAAAACAAAATTGTCTTGTTCCTATGGAAATGGATATAAGATAATTAATGTTATAAACATAAGTGCTTATACATTCTACCATTCAAAAATTTATAGCATACACCAAGATTTAAATTCTATTACTGCTAATAGTTATATTCCAAATATAAGACCAAAAAAACAAATCCCAAGCAGATCTGGAATGTTCCATGCCAAGACATCTCTGAAACCAGAAGTATTTGTTCTAAAGAATGCTAATTTGAGAAGTTTTTCCACAGCAAGGTTTTAAGCTGAAACAACCCTAGGTGCTGTTACAGGTATCTATAGTCCTGCCTCTAAGAAGTGAGGTCTGTAAAATACCCCTGCAACAGCCCTGTGGTCCCTTTGCTTACACTGAACATACTGTGCACGTACTCCACACAAAATCACTATCAGCAAATGCTATGCTGGAAAAGTCGCCTATTTTTTGTTGATCAGAAGGTGGCACCAAAATCAATCAAAACCTTTTAATGGTCAGAAACTGAAAGCAGCTGGCCAGGAAACAGAACAGTAACAGCACCTGCTAATAACGCTGATAAACTTCCTTTGATATAATTAAGGGACAGTCTGAGGGGATTGCACCCCAGAATCCGTACACTTGGCGGCTACTGGAACTTGGGACCTTGAGGTAACTGTCACCTCAGTTTGGCTTTGTTGAACACTGGTTTCCCCAAGATCTCTGGATTTAAACACCTGGGTTTGGAAGACAGCAAAATATGCTGTTAATCTTTGCTATGTCAGAAAATGATCAGACAGCTCGAGTGCAGATGGTACGGCAGTAGCCACAAGACATCAGTCAGCCAGCCATGCCAGGACTACAGAGTGTCCCTACAAGAAGTAATGGTACGTATGCCCCGGTATGGCCTATGACGCACAAGAGGACACAGCAAGCAGTGTCTGAGCCACCACTGACCCCCACGGTGGCAACTCAGCACGGAGGGAGCTCTGCCTTGGAAGCAGGATGGCAGTATTAACAACGACGCTTGCTCAGGCTAACAAGGCTGCTCCTTTTCTATCCGGAGCCCTGCTCCCCCATGTCTCCATTGTATTCCCCAGTGCAGGACATATCCTCTGACCTTCCACCAGCACATGGCTCCCATCAATTGCTGGATATGGCCATTATATAGTATCACTGCACATTCAAGCTCCCTTTAAAACTGGGATTAGCTCAACTGCCTGACATTCTACAAGGTTAAATTGTTTTCACTGGGGTTTGTTCTACTGTTTCACGAAACACGCATCCTGGCAAAAACAATTCACTATCACGAGTTGTTGTTATTTTTTCAAATCAATAGAATAAAATTTTGGACCGAAATGTCATAGTTCTTCAATAGTTTCTTGACAGTATTTATAATCTGTGAGCTGCTCAAAGCCATTACTGAAGTCTTTCTTTGTTTTCTTATGTCCTAGCCCACTTGCTGATATTGATAGCAGAAAAGAAAGTTTAAACGTGTATGAAACGCAAGAAAACAGCCACCAAGAACTAGGTCTGTGTTCTTTAATAATAAAATTGTGTTGTATTCTGGGATTACGTTGTGCTCTGTAAGAGGCAAACAAGTTTAGAGATTACATGGAGATTAATGGATGGATTAT